AGGGAGGGAAGGAGGGAGGAGAGGAGGGAGGGGGAGGAGGGAGATGGGAGGAGGGAGGAGGAGGAGGGGGGAGGGGAGGAGGGAGGGAGGGGGAGGAGGGAAGGAGGGCGAGGGAGGAGGGAGGCCGGGAGGAGGGAGGGGGTGCAGGAGGGAGGGAGGGAGGAGGGAGGGAGGAGGGCGAGGAGGGGGAGGGAGGAGGGAGGAGGGAGGGAGGAGGAGGGAGGAGGGAGAGGAGGAGGGAGGATGGGAGGGGGAGAAGGAGGAGGAGGAGGAGGAGGGTAGGAGGAGGAGGGAGGGGAGAGGAGGAGGAGGAGGAGGAGGAGGGAGGAGGAGAGGAGGAAAAGGAGGAGGAGGAGGAGGAGGAGGAGGAGGAGAAGGAGGGGGAGGAGGAGGAGTTGGAGAAGGAGGAGGAGGAGGAGAAGGAGGAGGAGGAGGCGGAGGAGGAGGAGGGGAGAGGAGGAGGAGGAGGAGGAGGAGGAGGCGGAGGAGGAGGAGGAGGAGGAGGAGGAGAAGGAGGAGGAGGGAACGAGGAGCGAGGAGGAGGAGGAGTAGAAGCCGGGGAGGAGGGTGAGGAGGGAGGCCGAATAAGCGGGAACCAGTTTCTCGTCGTACTTCACCTCGTCCTCTTGCCCCCCGCCCCCGCCCCTCTTGCCTGGCCGGACCGACTTGCCCCCCCCCCGCCCTCTTGCTGGCGAGGACCCCCTGCCATGGGCCCTGTTCGCCCGGACGCGTGGCGCCGCGATGTTTCTTCGCAGCGTGGGCCCCCCAGAAGCCTGGGCCCCTTCCTTTGGGGGGCTCGGTGCTCCTCCCGAGCAGCTCCGGTTCGAAGGGGCCCAAGGACACACAACTAAACACGCACACGCACATCCTAGGATGCCCCACCTGTTCCCGTCTAGATTTCCTGGGCTCCCGTCCTCCCCCCCCCCCACTTCCAATCTATTTTCCCAGGTTTTCCTGGGGGACGCCGATTACTCGTGCGCCTGTGTTTTTTTGTTCCCTCCTGCTTGTTGGCGGCCCTCCCCTGGGCCCCTGGAGGCCGAACGTGGCCAGAGAGGGCCTCCGCCGTGATCTTCTTCCACGGGGCCGCGAGGCTGGGGCGCGTTCCGCGTCGGATCGGGGTCTGGGTCGAGGCTCCTCGAGCACAGCAGGAGCTCGACCACGAGAAACCTTCCGCCAGAAGCCCAACCCTGAGGCCCCAGGGCGTCCCTTGACCTTTGGTGTGGGAGCGTCACGCCTTCCTGGGCAAGGCCATCGGAGCCCAAGAAACCCAGGGGGGCACCCTGGAGGCAAGCAGGGTGTTTCTTGGCATGGCCACTGTAGGGGATCGACTACGTAATGGATTTATCCCAGAATGTCTCTTCTCGCCGAGTTTACCAAACACATGCGAATCGTGTTAGTAGACCTATGGCACACTCTACGTATTTGTCGTCGATTCCGTAGGGGGCAACAGTTCGTGGACACTCCCCCGCTCCCCCAAACTCATAGTTGGCACGCGCGGGGGAGACTGCGGTCGACGTGATCAGACCCACCGCCAACCATTGACCCTCGGAGGGAGGGGCAGGCGCGGACCGATGAACGTGGCATGCGTGTTCGCTATTTTTTCCCGAGGCCTGCTCGACGAGCAAATCAATTGCATGGTACATCAAATCTGTAGTCGAGCCCCTGCTCGAGCTCTGGGGGCGGATCGGGATCCTAAAATTAGGTCGGGCATGGCCTCCTACAGGCGGATTTCTGGAGAAAAATTAAAACAACAGTCAAAACATATTCAAAGATGGCCAGAGACAGACTCAAAAAGAACAATCCCCAGCCGATTGTTTGACCATTCTTGAATATTCCTCCTGTGGAGGACGTGCCCGACTTAATCCTGGAGGTCGCCTCTCTTCGCGCCCCGCGCCCCCCCGGCCCTCTCCGCGCCCGATCGCGCCGCAGGAGAGGCGCGCCCTCCCAAACACACTCCCCGACCCAAGCCGCGAGGCGCCAGGCGCGCGCCCACCCCCCCACTCCTGGCGACCCGGCGATCGGGCCCAGCGAGCGCAGAGGAAGACAACAAAACCGCCATACGCAGAAACTTTTGGCGCTCCGCCCGGGTGTTTCTGGAAGACCGGATTTCTGCGCGGATTTCCGTCAATGCAAAACTCAAAAACGGCGAGAGAAGAACGACGTGAATTTCGCGTGGATTTGTTAGTCTTCATTCCTGACCAAAAAAGACCCGCACGAAATTCACCTCGAAATCCGGAACGAAATTCTCTGGGACACTCCAGGCCCATCCGATCGTTTCTTTCGCTCTGCGATGCTGACGCCATGATATGTCGCTCCCATCGTACTTAAGGACCACATCCCAGAAACAGTTTCGAGCACCCAGCAGCGCATCGAAGCAGTGTCGAACGAGCATCGCCTCCCAAAAATACGCCCCGAATGCTTGAAAATAGTAAAAAAAACAGACTAGTTTTGAATATTCCCCCCGTAGATGGACAGGCCCGACTTAAGTCCAGCGCCTTGAATGAATCGAGGCGGTTAGCTCGACGCCATTGCCGGACATCCGCGCGCCGTGGAACAAAAACGGCGGAACGTTTCCTGCCCATGCTCGGCTTCTGAGGGGCCCTCTCCGGGCCGAAGAGGGCCGTCAGAAAAGGCTCGGGATGGAAACCGGGTCACCAGGAAGGGGAACAGGCCTCGGCGGAGCCGCATTGTGGAACAAAAACATCGCGACGTCGGATGTATGGTGGACGGGGCTCAAGGGCCGAAGCTCTTGCCTGCTCTTCGGAAACCTTTTCTGGGTCTCCATGCGGGGGCCTCCAGGCAGGCCCAAGCTGTGTCGAATCGCAAAGTCCACGTTGGATCGGAAACGGACGGGATCGCGCCTGAATCGGCGTGGAATCGACTCGTGATCGCATCGTTTGGAATCGCGGATCGTGGTCGGCCCCCGCAGGCTGGAGAGGGAATCGGCGTGTGCCGGATCGGATGGGCTCGACAGCGGCGTTGACATTTCGGGATCGGGTCGAACCTGCAGCAGGCCTGTCAGGATCGGCAGGGGGAGGGGGGAGGGCTTCTTAGAAGCACCCCTGCTCCTGAAGGGGCGCGGGCCCTGTCGACGGATGCAGGGCCGGCGCCCTCCAAGAAGCAGGAGGAGGAGGAGGAGGAGGAGGAGGAGGAGGAGGAGGAGGAGGAGGAGGAGGGGGAGGGAGGAGGGGGGGAGGAGGAGAGGAGGGGGGAGGAGGAGGAAGAGGCGGAGGAGGAGGAGGAGGAGGAGGAGGAGGAGGAGCCCTCTTCTGAGGAGCCTTCCCCCCTCCCTCTGCACCCCGGCGCGCGCCGCCAGATGGCGGGCCCCAATGACCCCGGACCCAGGAATTGGGGCGCCCGAGTTATCCGGGGTAACTCGGGTCCGGGGTAACTCGGGTTTGGATTCCCGAAAAATTTGGACGCCCGGAATGGGTACGGAAAGAATGGGTACAATGCCCAACAACAAATGTTGTCCCAAACCAACAGCGGCCGCTGTTGGGCAGGCGGCCTTCTGTCTCGAGTGGACACAGGCCGCGGCGGCGTGGACAGCGAGTCCTGTTCAAAATGAACAGGCACTGCTGTTGAGCATTGTACCCATTCTTTCCGTGCCCGTTTCGTGCGTGCAGAAAAAAGGAACCCGAGTTAGCCCTGACCCGAGTTACCCCTGATGATGTGGGGCTCCGGACGCCCGAGTTATCCGGGGCAACTCGGGCCCGGGACAACTCGGGCTCGGATCCCCGAAAGACGAACCCGAGTTAGCCCCGACCCGAGTTACCCCTGATGATTCGGGGCTCTGAGGACTGCTTCCATCCCTCGGGGGCGCATCTTTCACTCCCGCGCTGCCTCCCACCGACCTTCCGCCGGCTCCCGCCGGCGGGGCCGCCCTCGTTTTACCTCCGCCACCCTCCGCCGAGGAAGAGATGCAAACCTTAAGTCGGGCGTGTCCCCCTACAGGGGGACCTTGGGCGAAAATCAGAAATACTCAAAAAATACCCCCCCAATGGGCCAAAATATTCAAAACATCGTCCCCAGACTATTTTTTAAACTATTTTTGGATATTCCTCCTGTAGAGGGACAGGCCCGACGTAAGTCAAACCCTTCCCCCCGCGAAGGCGAGGCACTCTCTGGAGCGCCGCCAGAGGACCACGTCTTTAGGGGGAAAGCCAACCTACCTCGCTTTTGACCACCCTCGCTTCCAAGAGATACCAAACGATGCCAAATTGCAGCCTGTACTGGTCAGGCCGCTTGACGAGGAGGCGCGTGGTATGGCTTGGTTTTGCCTGGAAGCGAACGCGGGGTAGGTAATTCACGCTCTGAGTCTCGGCCCCCGAGCCGCAGCGCTCCGAGCTCTTCCCCGGCCCTCCCGCCCCCACGAGGCATGGCGGCGCGCCCCCAGATCGCAGACCGCAGACTGCCGCGAGGGGGCCGCCGCCTGAGCAGGGACCGACCGTCCTGGCATTCCTATACAGCCCCAGGACGAAAATGTTTCCCTCTTGGGCCCGGAACGACGGCTCGAAGTCTTGAGCAACCGCGTGTGAGACAACCGCCGTCGGATCCCATGAAGTTCGCGCGGATCCAAATGTGGCTTTGGTGCTTGTTTCGGTGGATCCGATTTTCCATCCGCGCGGATCCGATTTCGGATTTGCTGGATCCGTGTTCGGTCCAATTCTTTACGGCGGATCCGACTTTTACCTCGTTCCAAACTTATTTTATCAAATGAAAACGGGAAGCCGGAGGACATCGGATCCGCGGACCCCGGAACCCGCCCGTGTTAAGATTCTACGGGGGAAGGGCGTTCGGTCATTAACTTCCAGCTCATCATCGCCATTTGCACCTCAAGAGGAAAATCTTTCGTCCTGCGTAAGTAGGCCTTCTACGCCATGTTCTTAGAACCCCGAAATGTTCTTCCAAGGAAAGAAACTAGGTTCTTAGAGAATACATAGACGCGATGTGTTCAAACAAGACGGCCTCGGCCAGAAATGTTCTGAGAACCCTTCGCGCAGACCACAAGTGGTTCTTAGAATAATCTTTGGTGGGCCTGCATGCGAGCCAGGGCGCTTCGCCACTGCCTGCCGCCGAGCCTCGCCGAGGCAAAGAAAGCCGCCCAGCGTTGACCCCTCCAGGTCACGAGACAAAGCCTGGGCGAGGATCACCTCGGGCGAAGATATATCGAGAATGTTCCGCGAGCCGGCGGCTCGGTAACATGTCTCGGGCGCCGCGGCCAGCTCGGCACGTTCCGGAGCGCTCCGAGCACGGCTCGGAACGCTCCGGCACGGATGCATCCTCGTGCTATAGCGCTCCGTCCGACCCCTCCGCGTCAGCCCCCCGTGGCATCTCAGAAGAGGCCGCGGAAGCTCCCCTGAGAGCCGACGTGAGCACAAGACCGCTGCAGCCTCTCGCAGGATCGCGACCGGGGCTCCGGGTCCCAGCTGTCTGCTCTCTATAGACTGTTCGATCCGCACCGACCTGCGAGGCTCCGGGGGCCCGAAAAACTGTGCGAAAGCGCCCGTCGCCTCAGGGCTGGCGACGCCCAGATCTCGGGGTGGCTCCCGTCCGCCCCTCCAGCAGAAGAAGAAGAAGAAGAAGAAGAAGAAGAAGAAGCAGAAGAAGAAGCAGAAGAAGAAGAAGAAGAAACGCCACAAAAGACGTAGACTTTGGGCGCTGCGCGCGGATTTCTCGGATCCGCGCTGGACCCCCTTCCCTCCCGGCGCGCGGAGCGCGCCAGGGGGCGGCGCCGGAGGCGCCGCCGGGGGCGGCCCAGCGCGGCTCCGAGAAACCCGCGCGGAGCGCCCACGAAGTCTGTGCCGATGCCCTTCTTTGTCTGCTTCCACCCCCTGCGCGCCGCGCAGTGCGCGCCGGCCAGCGCTGGGCGCCACCCCTGCGTGGGACACCCACAAGTATACACTACCACCACCACCTCCCTCCCCACCTCCCCCTCGCGGGAAAGAGGAGAGAGAAGGGGGGAATCGACGCGGTGGTGGTGTCTATGCTTTGGGCCCCCACCTACAGAGACACGATCCCGGGGTCGCCGCCGGCCGGCGACGGCCAGCTCGAGTCCCGCGGCTTCGACAGGGGCCTCTCGGGCCGGGCGAAAGGGGGGGGATAGCAATAGGAGGGGTTTGAGAACTGATTCTCCCGGCGCCTCTCGGCGCCGGGAGGCGCCCATGTATCGAGGAATGGGCCCGGCGGCGGGGCCGAAACCAGCTGCACGCAGCAGATTTCGTACCCCCCCTTCCCCTACCCTGACCTTCCAGAGAGCTATTTTTTAGCACGGGAGGCCAAAAAACCTAAAAAACGAAACGAAACAGCCTAAAACCAAGACGTAGAATAGCTCTGGGATAGGTTTTTCAGTCGCGTGCTATTCTTTAGCCCTCCTGGAAGGTCAGGGCCCTATCCCCCCCTTGCGTTCGGCCCGAGGCAGGCGCCTCTGGCAGGCGCCGCCGCCGGGCCGCGGCGCGGCGCCGCCCGCGCCGCCCGGCGGCAGCGCGGCCAGGAGCTCCAGCGCCACCGCGGCGGCGGACAGCGTGGGCGCCGGCCACGACGGGCCCCGCTCCCGGCCACGTGCAGGAGGGGCCCGGCGGAGGAAGGATGAGGAGGCGGGCGAGGGGGAGGAGGAGGGGGAGGGGAGGAGGGGCGGAGGAAGGAGGAGGGAGGAGGAGGAGGAGGAGAGGAGGAGGAGGAGGAGGAGGAGGAGGAGGGAGGAGGAGGAGGAGGAGGAGGAGGAGGAGGTGGGGGAGGAGGGGGGAGGGGGAGGAGGCGGAGGAAGGAGGAGGAGGAGGAGGAGAAGGAGGAGGCGGTGGGGGAGGAGGAGGTGGTGGAGGAGGAGGAGGAGGAGGTGGTGGGGGAGGAGGAGGAGGGGGAGGAGGAGGAGGAGGAGGAAGAGGAGGAGGAGGATGAGGAGGAGGAGGAGGGGGAGGAGGAGGAGGAGCCGGTCGAGACCTATGGCGGCCGCTGGGCAAGAGTCCCCGAGCTCCCGGCGCTGCGGCGGCTTTCTTGCAGCGGGTGGTGCTTCGTGGGCCGCCTGCGTTTCGGTGGCGTGGATACGGCGCGCACTGAGGGGGTGGCGCGAGGGGGGGGGGCCTTCCCCTGACCTTCCAGGAGGGCTAAAAAAATAGCACGCGACTTAAAAACCTATCCAAGAGCTATTCTATGTTTTGGTTTTAGGCTGTTTCATTTCGTTTTTTAGGGTTTTAGGCCTCCCGTGCTAAGAAATAGCTCTCTGGAAGGTCAGGGTCGAAGGAGGCGGTGCGCTTGTAAGATCCTGAGAGCCTGGCGCTGCACCTTGTTCGCAGCGGGCGTTGTCCTTCGACTTCGGGCCCAGATGGGGCCCTCGCAGATCGAGTCGGCTCGAGACATGACGCAGAAAGACGGGGCCCGGGGTTCCGGGCGTGATTTTTTGCGATGTTGCATCTGTGTTTGCAACGTCGGACCTCGGGGGTGACCTTTGGACTTGCGGGGGCCGGGGGGAGGCCGGACCCAAGCGAACACCTGACACTGCCAGATTGCATCATACTAAGGCACACCTGGGAACCCGACTGTGCCCGCGCCAGAGTGTCGGTCCAATCGCCGGGCATGACTTTCGAGGGGCACGAAGGGGAGGGCGGCACGTTTCACAGCATGGGCCGGAGGAAATCTATAGAGGAACCCTCGGCTGCCGACGGGCAGCCCTCCAGACCCAAATGGGCTGCGGTCGAAGTCTGGACGGCTCCAAGGAGGGAGGAGGGGAGGAGGGAGAACGCCACAAGAGGTCCCTCCGGCGAACGGTCACTCTTGCGTGTGGCCGGCGCTCGGCGAGCACGGAGGCGGCGAGCCCGGAGAGCAGCGCACCGTCCGTGTGCCGCGCGGCCACGGCCCGCGCCGCGCCCTCGACGCTCAGCAGCGCCACCAGGCGCAGGATGCAGGCGTCCAGGGCACTGCCCGGGCTGCGCTCCAGGCCCACCACGGCCTCCTGGATGGCCTGGCAGGGCTCAGCTTCGAGTCGGGCGCGGCCCTCTGCAGGCGGAGGGCTCGAGGAGAGCCAGGGAAGAGCTCGGTGACGATGTGCCGATTCTTTCTTTGTGGACGGTTGTGGAGGAGGAGGAGGGCGGAGGAGGAGGAGGAGGAGGAGGAGGAGGAGGAGGAGGAAGGAGGAGGAGGAGGAGGAGGAGGAGGAGGAGGAGGAGGAGGAGGAGGAGGAGGAGGAGGAGGAGGAGGAGGAGGAGGAGGAGTTGTGGACGGTCGTGGAGTCTGTCTTCCACAATCCGCCTGTGGGAGGGTCGCGCCCGACCTAAGGCTCGACCTGGACGGTGCCCTCCGCCCGTTCGGTCTGCCTTCGCCTCCCTCCCTCTGCTCCTGCCGCTCCTGCTGCAGAGCGACGGCAGTCGGCGGCGCGCACGCAGGGGGCACAGCTCGGCGACTCCGCCGGGCATGGTCTGCAGAGGGTGTGGCTTGCAAAACCGGCACCCTGAGGGGCACCCTGGGGGGGGGCGAGGACCTCGATACATAGAGCTCTCTGCCGCGCCCCGAGGAGGCCCGACGAGGACAACGTTGTGCCCCCCAGGCCCACCACCCCCCTGCGCAACCATACCCTCTGCAGTCGCCGAATAGCGCGAGGGGGGGGGGGGCCGTCTAAGATAAGGCGGCGCGCCTCTCAGAAGGCAGAGAGGCCTCCTGCGAAGCCCTCCCGGCTTCCGAAAGAAGCTTTCTTCGAAGCCCTCCCGGCCCCTCTACGAGGGCCCCTGCCTTCCCCCGAACATGCGACGGTGCAAACAAACATGCAACAACGCATGAAATCATGCCTGGACCCCCGGACCCCATCTTTCTGCGTCACTTTTCGAACCGGATCGATCTGCGAGGGCCCCGGGGCCCGAAATCCATCGAAGACGCCCGCTGCGAACATATGGTTCTGCCAGGCTCTCAGGGTCTGACAAGCGCACCGCCTCCTTCGAAAGCCCCCCCCTCGCGCCACCCCCTCAGTGCGCGCCGCCACGCCACCAAAACGCAGGCGGCCCACGAAGCACCACCCAACAAAAAACGCTGCCCAGATCGAGCCCCCGCGGCCTGGCCCAGGCGCAGCGGGTCGGCCGCCAGGCCCGGCGCCACATCTGCGTGGGCCAGCAGCCGCTCCTGCGCCGAGGTCGGGCATGTCCCCCTGCCGGCGAAGTCTGGCAGGAAAGCTGAGCACGGCAGAAAGAGCCCCCCAAATAGAAACGAGCAGTGGAAAACTCGCCCCCGAACTGTATAGTATATATATATATATATATACATATGATTGAATATATATATATATTCCTTCTACCTATCAAATTACAAGGAAAAACCCGGCATGTCACCGACACCCCCCCCCACATGGACCCCAGATGAACCCCACAGGCTCCCAAGAGAGCCCCACAATGCTTCGAGACGGCCCAAAATACCCCGAAGAGAGCGACACGAGGCCTACATCGGGAGCCCAAGACAGCAGAAGGCACTTCCGAGACGCCCTCTGCAAGGCCCAAGAGGCCCCAAGACGGCCCCATAGTGCTCCAACAGGATCAAACATGGGCTCAAGACTGTCCAGGATGCCCCCGCAAAGACCTCCAACACGGCCTCAGCAGGCCAAAAACCTTAATTTTCCATGTATTTTTGAACGATTCTGTGCTTCTCGCCTTTTCTGGCCACGAACGGCCCAATAATGATCTGCGAGCTTCCGAGGTCGCCCCGAAATGGCTTCCAGGCGGCCCAATGGGGCCCCAAGATGGGTCAATGAAGCGCAAAGAAAGCCAGGGAGCGCCCAAGAGACCCCTAAAAGACCCCCAAGAGGGCTCCAACAGAGTCACGGGATGCTTCAGAGAGGGCCCGAGAGAGCCCCAACACGGCCCCAGGACGGCCCAAACCCCCCCAGACAGCCCACGAGGGCCCCAGGACAGCCCAAGAAGGCCCTCCGATGGTATACAAAAGCACCAACAGGAGCTCCACTCAGTCTTAGAGCCGTCAAATTCTTTACACTCTGATTGACCTGAGCGGCCCCCCCCATCGCCCCTAGTTCTTCTCAACCTCGCCCCAAGACGGCACATGAGGCCCTGCAGACATCCCCACTAGAGCCCAAGAGGGTTCCAAGACAACTCTCGGCATGACCTACTCGGACGTCCGACAGCCCATCTCTCGTCCTTCTCTACCTCCTCCTCCTCTGTTTCCCCCTCTCTGCCCCTCATCCCCTCCTCAACCTCCTTCTTCCCTCGAACTCGTCGCCTTCCTCCTCCTCCTCGTCCTCCTCCTCCTCCTCCTCCATCGCCCTCTCCTCATTTGCCTCCACCGACTCCGGGATACGAAAACTGATACCCATTTTCTCAGGAGGTTTTCTCCTGATCCTCCTCCAGCTGCTCCTTCGAGGCTCTGAAGACATCCCCAAGAAAGTGCAAGAAGGTTCCAACCTAACTCTCGACACCAACTCTTCGGAAATCTCCTCCTTCGAGGCTCTGAAGACATCCCCAAGAAAGTCCAAGAAGGTTCCAACCTAACTCTCGACACCAACTCTTCGGAAATCTCCTCCCAACCTCCTTCTGCTGCTCCTCCTCCTCCGGCTCTTTATCCTCCTGCTCCTCTTGCTCCTCCTGTAGTTCGTTGTCTTCCTCCTCCGCTGCCTCGTCAAAAGCCCCAGACCACATACTCTTATCACAAGCTCCCCAAAAGCAACCAGGGGTGCCAAGACAGACCAAGGGGGCTCCGAAGAGGGCCCACGACAGGCTTCCAGGGTCCGGGGAACCACAATTTGATGCGCAGTTCTCCTTTCGTCTCAGGAGCCCACGGAACACTCGGGAGAACTAAAACATACCCCAGACCCCAGACTGCTATCACCAGCTCCCCTGAAGAACCCACGAGACTCCTGGACGGTCCAAGAAGACCCCACCACGGGCCTACGACAAGGCTTCCTCTTGCTCTTCCTCCTCCTGCTCCTCTCTCTCCTGTAGTTCGCTGTCTTCCTTCTCGCTGCCTTCTGAAGGGCCCCAGATCTGAGACTCATATCCAAGCTCACCAAAGACACCAAGGCGCCACAAGACACACCTCGGGGGCCCCAAAGAGATCCCACGACAGGCTTCCAGGGTCCGGGGAACCACAATTTGATGCGCAGTTCTCCTTTCGTCTCAGGAGCCCACGGAACACTCGGGAGAACTAAAACATACCCCAGACCCCAGACTGCTATCACCAGCTCCCCTGAAGAACCCACGAGACTCCTGGACGGTCCAAGAAGACCCCACCACGGGCCTACGACAAGGCTTCCTCTTGCTCTTCCTCCTCCTGCTCCTCTCTCTCCTGTAGTTCGCTGTCTTCCTTCTCCGCTGCCTTCTGAAGGGCCCCAGATCTGAGACTCATATCCAAGCTCCCCAAAGACACCAAGGCGCCACAGGACACACCTCGGGGGCCCCAAAGAGATCCCACGACAGGCTTCCAGGGTCTGGGGAACCACAATTTGATGCGTAGTTCTCCTTCCGTCTCAGAAGCCCACGGAACACTCGCGAGAACTAAAACCATACCCCAGACCCCAGACTGCTATCACCAGCTCCCCTGAAGAACCCACGAGACTCCTGGACGGTCCAAGAAGACCCCACGGGCCCACACAGGCTTTCCTGTTCCTTCTTCTCCTTCCTCTCCTGTCTTCGCTGCCTTCTGAAGGGCCCCAGATCTGAGACTCATATCCAAGCTCCCCAAAGACACCAAGGCGCCACAAGACACACCTCGGGGCCCCCAAAGAGATCCCACGACAGGCTTCCAAGGTCTGGGGAACCACAATTTGATGCGCAGTTCTCCTTCGTCTCAGAAGCCCACAGAACACTCGCGAAAACTAAAACATACCCCAGACCCCAGACTGCTATCACCAGCTCCCCTGAAGAACCCACGAGACTCCTGGACGGCCCAAGAAGACCCCACCACGGGCCTACGACAAGGCTTCCTCTTGCTCTTCCTCCTCCTGCTCCTCTCTCTCCTGTAGTTCGCTGTCTTCCTTCTGCGCTGCCTTCTGAAGGGCCCCAGATCTGAGACTCATATCCAAGCTCCCCAAAGACACCAAGGCGCCACAAGACACACCTCGGGGGCCCCAAAGAGATCCCACGACAGGCTTCCAGGGTCTGGGGAACCACAATTTGATGCGCAGTTCTCCTTCCGTCTCAGAAGCCCACGGAACACTCGCGAGAACTAAAACATACCCCAGACCCCAGACTGCTATCACCAGCTCACCTGAAGAACCCACGAGACTCCTGGACGGTCCAAGAAGACCCCACCACGGGCCTACGACAAAGCTTCCTCTTGCTCTTCCTCCTCCTGCTCCTCTCTCTCCTGTAGTTCGCTGTCTTGCTTCTCCGCTGCCTTCTGAGGGGCCCCAGATCTGAGACTCATATCCAAGCTCTATCTTGAGCCATGCTTGGCTATCTTGGGCCATTTTGGAGGCCATCTTGGGCTATCTAGGGCTCTCTTGGAGCCATCTTGGGCCAAAAAGGGCGGGGTGGAGAATCTTCAGGAGAGGCTGGGGGGCCTCTCGGGCCCGTCTTGGGCCCCATTGTTCAAAAAGAGCGGGGGTCCTCAGTTCAGGTCCCCCCCTCGGAGGCTCTCAAACGGCGTCTTGGGGACGTGTTGGAGCGCTCTTTGGAAGCCTCTTGGGCGATCGTGGGGCCGTCTTGGGCCTTCTTGGGCCCCTCTTGGGGCTCTCTTGGGCCATCTTGGGGCCATCTTGATGCCTCAGGGGCCCATCGGAAGCGAAAAGACGAGAATGCCAAACACATTGACTTTCCTTAGGCTTTTGAAGGGTTTTGGCTTCTTGGAGGGCGCCGTGGAGGGCTCGAAGGGCACGTGGATCCGTCTTGAGGACTCTTGGAGGTGTGTCGGAGGCTATCTTGACCCATCTTGAGGTATCTTGGGCCATCTTGGAGGCCATCTTGCGACTTGGAGCGCCTCTTGGAGCCATCTTGAGCCATCTTGGACGCTCTAACGCCTCCATCCCCCCCCCCCCCCTCCAGGTCCAGGGGAAGGTTACCCCTCCCCCGAGCAGGGGAAGGAAGGGGAAGAGAGAAGACCAAACTCGTTATACCACCGTAGCCCTAAAGGGCTGGTGGGACTTCCACCTATAGACTTCCAGCCTCCATCAGCTCAGCACTCCGACCTCTAGCGTCCGGCATCCGACTTTCCACCTTCACCTCCACTCCAGCGTCCACCAACTCTGCGCCCTGAGCCCCGCCCCGGGCGCTACCGCGCACTCGCCTCGCCTCGCCTCCGCTCGCACAATTCCCACACACCTCATTGAACAATTGTGTTCTCGCCCGCGCCCAGAAACATCGTAGGTGCAAGGATCAAGATTCGAAGGCGAAGCGCAGCGAGCCTTAAAATCTTGTATATATATATATATATCTATATATACATATAATGCATATGTATATGTATATGTATATGTATATGTATATGTATATGTATTTGTATATGTATTTGTATATGTATATGTGTATGTGTATGTGTATGTATCTGTACATGTACATGTACATGTATATGTATATGTATATGTATATGTGTATGTGTATGTATATGTATATGTATATGTTCATGTATATGCATATGTATATTCTATTATAAATACAGTTTTTCTTGCTTGTTTTTTTTTGTTTTTTTGTTTTTTTTGTCGTTGTTCCTCCCCTGGAGGTACGTGCCCGGCCCAGTCCTGCGCCGACGGCGGGCCGCCCGCGGCGAGGGCCTCCGCGGCGCGCACCTGGGCCTCGCCGAAGCCCATCTCCCGCAGCGCCCCCGCGGAGCCCGGGGGCTCGGCGAGCCCGCCCTGCGAGCCCCGAAGGACTCGGGAGGAGAACACAGACACAGACACTCCTCCTCCTTCCTCCTCCCTCCTCCTCCTCCTCCTCCTCCTCCTCCCCCTTCTCCTCCTCCTCCTCCTCCTCCTCCTCCTCCTTCTCCTCATCCTCATCCCCCTCCTCCTCCGCCTCCTCCTCCTCCTCCTGCTCGCACAAGTCATCGTCGATTCCCAGGAAAAGATGGGGACATATATGGGAAGTGGGGGGGGGAGGACAAACACCCCAGAAAGTATGGGAAGTGGGGGGGGAGGAAAACTGGGAAGTGGGGGGGAGGACTCGGGAGGAGGACAAACACACAGACACAATGACAGTGAAAACGTCTAGTAGGGGCACGTGGTGAGGACGCAAGACCCTCGGAGGCCGAAGTGGAAGTATTCAGGGCGGCGGGCGGCCAAACCCCCGGGGGACCTGAGAAACTGGCCTGCGAAAGTTGCTAGGGGCGGGCCGCAGAGGCTGAGGCAGGCACGGACCCAAGGGTACCCTTGAAAACGTCGTTTGTCCTTACTATGCGCGCTGACTGTAATCGTCGATTCCCAAGAACAGATGGGGAAATATGGGAAGTGGGGGGGATGACAAAAACCCAGAAAGTATGCGAGAAAATTGTGAATCCTGTTATTTGTGTCTATTTATTTTTGTGTCCCAGGGCCCCTTCACGGACCCCCTCGCGCGGTGGCACAGAATTTCGCGACGGGAGGTATTCCGCGACAGTCGGCCCGCATCCCCAAGACTCTCTCGCGCTGCGAACAAAAATCACAACGGACAATTGTTCGCCACTTTCGGCCTCTGTGGGCCCTCACTGGGCCTCGGGGCCGTCAAAAAACGACTCAGGATGAGAAACCGGTCCCGGGGAAGGGGTCGAGACCTCTGGGGTCGATGTTATGAGCAAATCATGACGTCGGGAGTCTTGGTCATAAGGACGCGCGATAAGGATGCGAGGGCCTTGGACGCCCATGTCGAAGCTTCTCGAGCGTGGCGCGGCCGACGGAAGTGGCCAAGCATGGGCCGAGGAGGCAAGGATGCAAGGGTACCCTTGGGAAGGTTGCCCAGCCTTACCATGCGGGTTGATGGTATTTTCGGCCTCGGGGGGCCCTCGCCGGGCTTCGGGACAGGGGTCCAGACCTCTAGGGGTCGACGTTGTGAATGTCAGGAGTCTGGGAACCAGCCTCGATCTCTTCTCTCCATCCCTGAGATGGACAGGCCCATGTGCGATGACAATCTTAGGGATGTGCGTCCTCAGGAACTGGGAGAGCCCTTGAGATCGGCATCGAGAGCAAGCGATGCCAATCACAAAGACCGGGATGTGGTCCAAGCTGGTGCCCAGACCCCGACGTCGTGATTTTGTTCATGACGTGCCCCTCAGAAGGTTGGACCCCTTCCCAAGTTTTTCGCCAGAATCGTTTTTTCACGGTCCCGAGGCCCGGGAAGGTCCCTGGGAGGCGGAAAAGAGTGAAACACTTCCCGTCGCGATTTTTCCACTGCGCGAGAGGGTTTGGGCAGCCTGCTGCAGCGCCCGCAGCTGGTGCAGGAGCATCTGTTGCTGCTGCTGCTCGAAGGGGTTCAGGGCTAGCCCGGGCACCATGGCGCCAGGGAACGGACCCAGGGCGCCGGGCAGCATGGCCCCGAGCGGCGCGTCGGTGTCGGGCGGTATCACGACCTCCCCGTCGGAGCCGTCGTCCCCCTGGAGCGGGTTGCCGCCGGACTCCCTGGACTTGTCCAGGAGGAAGCCGAGCTCGTGGAAATTCTCCTCGACCTGGCCGTCGGCCGCCTCCGCCGGGCGGGCGGGCTCGGGCATCGCGGCCCCGCGCACGAGGAAGATAGAGTGGCCCTCCTCGCCCAGCTGGCCCAGCCAGGCCGCCAGGAAGAACGGGCTCACCATCGCAGGTCTCCTTCGCGTCGAGTTGAGGTTCCACCAGCACGACGCGATCTCCCGGATCGCGAACCAGTGGTCCCTGTACTGGCACAGGAACGCCCCCGCGGCCTTGGGCGGGTCCTTCATCAGCTCCCTCGCGTCGGGGTGGTTGGACGGCAGCAACTCCAGCCCGAACCTCTTCAGCGCCAGCGCCAGCACCTGTATGCTGAAGTTGCCGCCGTCGGCGGAGGGGTCCACGTTGTACGGCTGCT